GGCTGCTTGGAGGAGAGGGGAGGGGGGATGGAGGAGGATGGAGGAGGGGGGAGGGCAGTGCGCATGCTCACCCTGGTGCCCCCCCCTTCCGCCCAGAACAAAAGCACGCCCACCCTTCTGAAGTCTGGGGGGCAGCTCCTCAATACAGGGGTCACTTACACACACATACATTATTATTACTATTATTATTATATATCATATATTATATATATAAAATATTGTTATATATCATATCATATACAATATTATAGATAAAATATTATTATTATATATCATATCATATATCATCATATATCATATTATATATAAAATATTATTATATATCATATCATATACAATATTATAGATAAAATATTATATAATATATATTTATAAATTAATATATATTATATACAATATCATATATAATATATAATGTTATATTTTATATTATATAATATTATATATATATATAGTATACAGTATTTATTTATTTATTTATTTGTTTGTTTATTTGGGGTTCTTTTACCCCACCCTTCTCACCCCGAAGGGGACCCAGGGCGGCTTACACAGTAAAGGCACGATTAGATGCCTGCATCACAAACAATCATCACAAACTACAATAAATTCACAATTACCAACAGTTCATGCATTATTCCAAAAAAAATCAATAAAATCTATAAAATCAATACAAACCCAATTCCTCCCCTACACTGTCAGTGTTTGCTGTCTCATAGATCTGCTTTTGATTCCATTTCGTCAATCCTGCTGGACTTACTCGTCAGATTGTCTTATTTAATTGCCTGGTTGCCCAAAGGCCTGGTCCCATAACCATGTCTTCAACCTCCTCCTGAAGGAGAGGAGGGATGGTGATGCTCTGATTTCCCCGGGAGTGAGTTCCACAGGTGAGGGGCCACCACTGAGAAAGCCCTGCTCCTCGTCCCCACCAGCCTCACTTGTGACAGTGGTGGGGTCGAGAGCAGGGCCTCCCCAGATGATCTCAAACTCCGGGTGGGACGTAGAGGGAGATACGTTCGGACAGATACACTGGACCGGAACCGTACAGGGTTTTGTAGGTCAAAACCAGCACCTTGAATTGTGCTCGGAACTGAACCGGCAGCCAGTGGAGCTGGCACAGCAGGGGGAGGTGTGTGCTCCCTGTATGTCGCCCCAGTGAGTAATCGCTCGCTGGACCAATTGAAGTTTCCGAACAGTCTTCAAGGGCAACCCCACGTAGAGTGTGTTGCAGTAGTCTATTCGGGATGTGTATATACATATACACACACATACAATATATTATATTATTAGCATAGTACAATATCAGTATTATATGTTACTATGTTGTACTATACCATTATTTTATAATATTATTAGTAATATTACATGTCATATACAATATATAATTATAATATTGCCTTTTTATTATTAATAGTAGTATTATTATATTGTATTACATTATAATTTTATAAATATTATATATATAAAAAATACACAACACAAACACCTTGCTGCAGAATAACTTCCCTAACCGGGCCTCGAACCCGCAACCCTGCGCGCTGCCCCGCCCACTCTCGCCATCCTATTTTCCTTTGTTCTCTTTTTTCACTTACGCACGCGCGCCCTCTAGCGACTAGCTGCCAACATCGCCACACCCCGCGCGTGCGCACAACACACGCTCCCGCCCCCCCTTCCGCGCATGCGCCGAAGCAACAATTACACGTCTCTCCTCGAGGGTGTGCGCGTGCGCAACCGGGGGAAGCCTTTGCACCGTTGGGAGAGCGCATGCGCGGCAGGAGAGGCAGCCGGATTGAGACACTATGGGTAAGGAAAAGGGAATTGGGATTATAAGGCCAAATCTTTTGAGGGAAGGGGGCTATTCCTGATCATCAGTGTTGCCAACATGCAGCGGAACCATGGGTCATGTGGGGTAGTGGATAATGGGCATTGTGGGTCAATGAAACCCTGGATTCAGTGGGTCTTTTAGGCTTCCCATTGGATGTGGATGATGGGTCCCAGAGTGCTTGGCCTTCCCATTGGATGTGGATGATGGGTCCCAGAGTGCTTGGCCTTCCCATTGGATGTGGATGATGGGTCTCAGAGAGCTTGGCCTTCCCATTGGATGTGGATGATGGGTCCCAGAGTGCCTGGGGCTTCCCATTGGATGTGGATAATGGGTCCCAGAGTGCCTGGGGCTTCCCARTGGATGTGGATYATGGGTCCCAGAGTGCTTGGCCTTCCCATTGGATGTGGATGATGGGTCTCAGAGAGCTMGGGCTTCCCATTGGATGTGGATGATGGGTCRCAGAGWGCCTMGGGCTTCCCATTGGATGTGGATGATGGGTCRCAGAGWGCCTMGGGCTTCCCARTGGATGTGGATYATGGGTCCCAGAGTGCTTGGCCTTCCAATTGGATGTGGATGATGGGTCCCAGAGTGCTTGGCCTTCCCATTGGATTTGGATGATGGGTTCCAGAGTGCTTGGCATTCCCATTGGGGTGGGTGATGGGTTCCAGAGTGCTTAGCTTTCCCATTGGACACAGATTATAGGTCATAGAGTGCTTGGGATTCCCATTGGACATGGATTATGGGTCCTAGAGTGGTTGGCCTTCCCACTGAATGTGGAGGACTTCCTATTGAATGTGGGTGATGGGTCTCAGAGAGCTTGGCATTCCCATTGGGGTGGATGATGGGTCTCAGAGTGCTTGGGCTTCCCATTGGGGTGGATGATGGGTCCCAGAGTGCTTGGCATTCCCATTGGATGTGGATGATGGGTCTCAGAGAGCTTGGGCTTCCCATTGGATGTGGATGATGGGTCTCAGAGAGCTTGGCATTCCCATTGGGGTGGATGATGGGTCCCAGAGTGCTTGGCCTTCCCATTGGATGTGGATGATGGGTCTCAGAGTGCCTGGGCTTCCCATTGGGGTGGATGATGGGTCTCAGAGAGCTTGGCATTCCCATTGGGGTGGATGATGGGTCTCAGAGTGCTTGGGCTTCCCATTGGGGTGGATGATGGGTCCCAGAGTGCTTGGCATTCCCATTGGATGTGGATGATGGGTCTCAGAGAGCTTGGGCTTCCCATTGGATGTGGATGATGGGTCTCAGAGAGCTTGGGCTTCCCATTGGATGTGGATGATGGGTCCCAGAGTGCTTGGCCTTCCCATTGGATGTGGATGATGGGTCTCAGAGAGCTTGGCCTTCCCATTGGATGTGGATGATGGGTCTCAGAGAGCTTGGGCTTCCCATTGGATGTGGATGATGGGTTCCAGAGTGCTTGGCCTTCCCATTGGATGTGGATGATGAGTCCTAGAGTACTTTGGCTTCCCATTGGACACGGATCATGGGTCTTAGAGTACTTGGGCTTCCCATTGAACACAGATGATAGGTCCTAGAGTACTTGGGCTTCCCATTGAACACAGATGATGGGTCCTAGAGTACTTGGGCTTCCCATTGAACACAGATGATGGGTCCTAGAGTACTTGGGCTTCCTTTTGAATACAGATGATGGGTCCTAGAATACTTGGGCTTCCCACTGAACACAGATGATGGGTCCCAGAGTGCTTGGGCTTCCCATTGGATGTGGATAATGAGTCCTAGAGTACTTGGGCTTCCCATTGGATGTGGGTGATGGGTCCCAGAGTGCTTGGGCTTCCCACTGGATGTGGACGATGTGTCCCAGATTAGATTATGCTTTTCCCGCTTGGCTTAAGGGGGTTGGCTGGATGCCCTTTGGGGGAGCCCTTCCGATTTCAGGATTTCCATGACACGCGTGTTTACCTTCCCGTCCGCAGCCGTGGGGCCCGGGATGTCGCTGCTGCTCTCCTCGCTGCTCTCGCTGCTGCTCTTCGCCGGGATGCAGATGTACAGCCGGCAGCTGGCCTCCAGCGAGTGGTTGACCATCCAAGGAGGCCTCCTGGGCTCCGGGCTCTTCATCTTCTCCCTCACCGTATCCTTTGCCCTCGAGTTGCACCGAGTTGCATTGCGTGCGTTCCCAGCGCTCCCCTCAGTCCAGATGCTGCCAAACGCTCTTCCAGCTAGAAAGAAGGACGAGAAGGGTTGTATGTATATAGCTGGTCTTCCAGTTAGAAAAAGGACGAGAAGGGTTGTATGTATATGGCTGGGTGGCCATCTGTTGGGAGGGCTTTGATGGTGTCTCCCTTCGTAGCCGAAGGGGGGTGGACTGGATGACCTTTGGGGGGTCCCTCCCGATTCTTAATTCTTCCTTTTCCCCTTAACGAATGTCTTCCCAGGCTTTCAACAACCTGGAAAATCTGATTTTTGGCAAAGGCTTCCAAGCCAAGATCTTCCCTGAAAGTGAGTCCAAGGGTGAAGAACGATGGGTTTTCTGATCCACTTTGGGGGCTTCGACTAACACCCTTTCTTTTCCTCCCCAACCACAGTTATTTGCTGCTTGTTGCTGGCTTTGTTTGCATCCGGATTGATCCATCGGGTCTGTGTCACTACCTGGTAAGGATTATTATTATTATTATTATTATTATTTGAAACACAACAAGATTAATCCACAGCAAACAAGGTGTTGGATCACACATTGGACAAGTGCAGGCCAAAGTCTTTAGGCACTACGCCCAGCGTGCCAGTCACCACTTGGACCACCTTGACTGGCTTGTTCTAATATTTTCACAAACCCCAATGACATCTAGACATTTGATGATCCAACAAAGTGGCAGTGAGTCAAATGCTCACTATTATATTATTATTATTATTATTATTATTATTATTATTATTATTATTAGAAACACAACAAGATGAGCCCACAGCAGACACTCTGCTGGCTGTTGTATTGGATCACACGTTGGACACTTCCCAAGTGTCTAGGACTGTGTGATGTATCAGCAAATAATGCATGCAGATCCAAGTAGGGTGGCCTTTTGCCGCTGACAGGTGGTAATTTTGTCAGCGCCAATTGTGTTTAAGTGCAGGCCAAGGTCTTGAGGCACTGCGCCCAGTGTGCCGGTCACCACTGGGACCACCTTTACTGACTTGTTCTAATATTTTCACAAACCCCAATGACATCTAGACATTTGATGATCCAACAATGTGGCAGTGAGTCAGATGCTTTATTATTATTATTATTATTATTATTATTATTATTATTATTATTATTACCTGGTAAGGAATGGAGATAGAAGAGGAGAGGGAAGGATTGTGGGGACGATGGGCTCTTTGCTCCAACAGGAAAGCCTTCAGGACCTTCCTGGATCAAGGCAAGAAGTGCCCTTTTTTGGTTACTACTACTACTACTACTAATAATAATAATAGGAAATTATCACAATAAGTCACAATAGTAATAGTAATATAAGGATTCGTGATTATAAGAAGTGATAATATAGGGAGTCATGATGAAAGTCATCATAATAAGTCACAATAATAATAGTAATATATTTATTTATTATTTATTTATTAGATGCACTTATTAACCGCCATTCTCAGCCCTTACGGGCGACTCATGGCGGTGTACAGTACACGTAAAAAGACAGTTACAAAAGCCAATATCCACAATACAACAATACAAGCTACATAAAAATCCGCTTCGTCTCTTAGTAGAATCGTAAGCCAGTCTCCTCGTCCTTATACCATTCCAATTCTCATTACCGTAATGACATTGCTAGCACTTAATTAAATGCCCTCTCGAACAGCCAGGTCTTAAGGCTTTTTCGAAAGGACATGAGGGAGGGCGCCTGTCTAATGTGTGCCGGGAGAGTGTTCCACAGCCGGGGGGCCACCACCGAGAAGGCCCTCTCCCTCGTCCCCGCCAGCCGTGCCTGTGATGCAGGCGGGATCGAGAGAAGGGCCTCCCCAGACGATCTCAAGGTCCTCGTGGGCTCGTAGGCCAAGATGCGGTCAGCAAGGTATTTTGGGCCGGAACCGTTTAGGGCTTTGAAGGCCAAAACCAGCACCTTAAATTGGGCCCGGTAGCAAATCGGCAGCCAGTGGAGCTGGGACAACAAGGGTGTTGTGTGCTCCCTGTATCCCGCTCCAGTTAGTAACATGGCTGCCGCACGCTGAACCAGCTGAAGCTTCCGGGCCGTTTTCAAGGGCAGCCCCACGTAGAGAGCGTTGCAGTAGTCAAGCCGGGATGTGACCAGAGCGTGTACCACCGTGGCCAAGTCAGACTTCCCGAGATACGGGCGCAGCTGGCGCACGAGCCGAAGCTGTGCAAATGCTCCCCTGGTCACCGCTGAAACCTGGGGATCCAGGCTCAACGATGAGTCCAGGTCACACCCAAGCTGCGAACCTGCGCCTTCAAGGGGAGTGCGACCCCATCCAGCACAGGCTGTAACCCTATACCCTGTTCTGCCTTACGACTGACCAGGAGTACCTCTGTCTTGTCTGGATTTAATTTCAGTTTGTTCGCCCTCATCCAGACCGTTACAGCGGCCAGGCACCGGTTCAGGACCTCGACAGCCTCCTTAGTAGCAGGTGGAAAGGAGTGACAGAGTTGGACAGCATCTGCGTACAGATGACACCGCACCCCGAAACTCCGGATGATCTCACCCAGCGGCTTCATGTAGATGTTAAACAGCATGGGGGACAGTATGGAACCCTGAGGCACCCCACAAGTCAAAGGTTGTGGTGCGGAACAGGAGTCCCCCAATGACACCTTCTGGGTGCGACCCTCCAGAAATGACCGGAGCCACTGCAAAGCAATGCCTCCAAGACCCATTTCCGCAAGGCGCCCCAGAAGGATACCGTGGTCGACGGTATCGAAGGCCGCTGAGAGGTCCAGAAGCACCAACAGGGACACACTCCCCCTGTCTAGCTCCCGGCGCAGATCATCCACTAAGGCGACCAAGACCGTCTCGGTACCATGTCCCGGTCTGAAACCAGACTGTGCCGAATCCAGATAATCCGTGTCTCTCAAGAATACCTTGAGTTGTGAGGCCACCACGCTTTCCATGACTTTGCCCAAAAAGGGAAGATTGGAAACAGGCCGAAAGTTGTCGAATTTAGTGGGATCCAGTGATGGTTTCTTCAACAGCGGTTTTATAACTGCTTGTTTTAAGCACGCTGGAATCTTGCCTTCCCTAAGGGAGGCATTAACCACCACCGTTACCCACTCAGCCAATCCCCCTCTGGCCTCCTTCAGAAGCCAGGATGGGCAGGGGTCTAGGATGGACGTGGTGGGCCTCATTCCTCCAAGTATCTTGTCCACATCCTCGGTTTCACAAACTGAAAAGAATCCATCAAAATAGGACAAGCAGGTGCTTGTGTCACATCCTCGGAGACTGCATTTAACATGGTGTCCAGCCCAGAACGGATCAAGGCGACTTTGTCTGCGAAGAACCGAGCAAATGCTTCACAGCGCGTGACCGAATTGTCAGGGCTCCCACCTACAGAGGCGGGAGTTAAAAGACCTCTGACAATCCGAAACAACTCCGCCGGACGGTTCTTTGCAGACGCAATAGTGGCCGCAAAGAAAGTCTTCTTTGCGGTCTTTATTGCCGCGGCATATGCCCTAAGAAAGGACACAAACCGTGCTCGGTTTGACTCGCTCGGTTCCGAACGCCACACGCTCTCTAGTTCCCTCTTCCTTCGCTTCATAGCTGCCAGCTCCTCAGTAAACCAAGGGGCCGGTTTAGCTCGGCTACTTGAGAGGGGACGTTCCGGAGCGATCATGTCAATAGCCCTGGTCATCTCCCCATTCCAGAGAGCGACCAAGGCCTCGACATGGTCACCTACCGAGGTGGCGGAAAAATCCCCAAGAGCCGTCAGGAATCCATTCGGATCCATAAGCCTCCTGGGGCGGACCATCTTAATGGGTCCTCCACCTTTGCAGAGGTTAGGGGGTGCAGTGAGCCTAAATCTGATCAGGAAGTGGTCGGTCCATGGCAACGGAGAGATGGATAACTCCTCCACACCGCCACCCTGTTCCCATCCCTGACAGAAAACCAAATCCAATGTGTGTCCAGCACAGTGGGTGGGGCCAGATATTTGTTGGGACAGCCCCATGGTTGCCATGGCAGACATGAAGTCCTGAGCCGCGCCTGTGAGGGTCGACTCGGCATGGACATTGAAGTCTCCCAGCACAAGAAGCCGTTGAGACTTCAACGCCAGGCTCGAGACCACCCCCGCTAGCTCAGGTAGGGAGACTGTAGTGCAGCGAGGTGGACGGTACACTACTAGAATCCCTATACTGTCCCGGTCACCCACCCTCAGGTAGACGCTTTCGAAATTTGCGGTCTGCGGGATGGGGCACCTGGTCAGATGGATGGAATCCCTATAGACCACTGCAACCCCGCCTCCCCGCCCTCCGGATCTAGGTTGGTGCTGCACGGAGAAACCCGGAGGACAAAGCTGGGTCAGATTTACTCCTCCAGCTTCATCCAACCAGGTCTCCGTGATGCACGCCAGATCTGCCCGTTCGTCCAGGATTAAGTCCTGGATCCAGGTCGTTTTTCCGTTGACAGATCTGGCGTTCAACAGCACCACCTTCAGTCCGGAGGGTCCGCTCACCTGGTTACACCAAATTACCTTAGGAGATCGATTTGGAATTTTGATTATGGATAGGTTGTCCGAATTAGGCCGAATTTGAGGTCTCCTTTTCCCGCATCTCCTCCTTCCCACCACGACCTCTATGGGGGCCCCTCGGCTAGTGGAACACCTCCCCTCCTCCATGCCGCTATTCCTGGCTAGGGTCTTAACCACAATTTCACCAGCTGTTTGGAAGGTTGGTAATTTGTCTTGCCCGTTGTGCTGGCCTTCTTCAACGCCCCTCCCCCCCTCATAATTTCCCACAGGCTCCAACCCACTGCCTCCCCTGCCCCTTCCACCAGATAATGATAACAGAGACAGTACGCATAGGAGGGTGGGGAACCACATGGATGGAAATGGCTACTTCAGTAAATAAAGGATGTCGGAGGCAGCGTTAGCCGCGAAATAGAGAGATCTCCGAGTACTCGAGTCTTAAAGTGCAAAGTGCAAAGTACCTTCCGCGGCTACCAGGTAGTTCCTAAGAGGTAAGATCTTAAAGTGCAACAAGATATTAAAGTGCAAACAGCCTCAACAGAAGAATGTTTGGCCCTCTATACTACTAAAGTGCGGCAGGAGGAGTTGGGTGGGGGTAAAGTGCAAAACAATTAGTAAAGTGCAAACAGTTGGCTATGGGGCAGGCGCCGCTAAGCGCTATATTATGTTCTTATTACTATATTAGTAACAGAAGTAGTAGGACGGACTGTGCCAAGCAATGTTCAGTAGTCGGAGAACTGGCAGTTAGTACAGTGCTATGATTCAGATGTAAATAACAGACGTTTGATGTAAATTAGCGGATGGACCTCCGGTTAAAAAGTCCTGGTAATCAGTCAGCCCCGGCCTGTTAAAGGTAGTCTTCCAGAGACAAACTTGCCGGCACAAGAAGCTGGGAAATGTAGTCAGTTCGCCAGATGATGATAATGATGATGATGATAATAAAATAATAATAGGAAATCACAATAATGATAATAGGAAATCATCAAGTCACAATAATAATAGTAATATAAAAAGATTCATTATAATAATAAATCGTAATATAGGGAATCATGATAATCATAATAGGAAATTACAATAATGATAATAATAGAAAATCATCATAATAAGTCACAATAATAATAGTAATATATAGGGAGTAATGATAATAATAATAATAATAATAATAATAGGAAATTCTTTATGGCGGAAAGGGGTTTGAATGGATGACTTCTGGGGGTCTTTTTGGGTGGCTTTTTCTTTTATAGCAGGAGGGGGTTGGACTGGATGGCCTCTGGGGGTCCCTTTCTGACTCTGCTGTGATTCTCTTGCAGCTTCATCTTCTCCATGATCGCCCTTTATTACATCAACAAGATCTCCTCCACGCTCTACCAGTCGGCCGCGCCGGTGCCGGTGCCCACCAAGGCGGTCAGCAAGGGCCGGAAGAGGAACTGAGGCCAAAGGGACCAAGGAGGAAAGGGATTGGAAGGGGGAAACACATGGAAAGCCATTCCATCTCAGCTATATATCCCATAAAGGGTGTTTTTTTGTAAAAACGAAAAAGCTTGGTGTCTTCTGTGTCGCGTTTCGTGGCTGCATCGAAACAAGTCTAGATTGAGGAAAGGATGACCATCTGTCGAGAGGAATTAGATTGTGCTTTTCCTGCCTGGAAAATTGAGGTTGGGCTGGATGCCCTTTGGGGATCCCTTCCAACTCTGATTCTATGATCCCTATTTCTCCCATGCGATCATCTACGAAGCTGGATGGCCATCTGCTGGAAAGGTTTTGATTGTGCTTTTCCTGCCTGGAAAATTGAGGTTGGGTTGGATTGTCGTACTCTAGAGCAGAATCACCTCTCACTTGAACACCACATCATCTGGGCAAAATCAGCAAGCAGTTTATTTAAGAATATAGGTAGCCAAAGCAATAAAAACAATCCAGTTTAGTTCCTCAGATACAAAGGAAGACAGGAACAAAGAGTCCAAGGAAATCCCTGAATCTGGGCACTTGAATCCATGAACAATACAGAAGCATATCCCATAGGCTAAACATGAGCTAGTTGCATGAAACTTGGCGTTATCCTGACGTTGCCTCAACTGAAGCAGTCGTCTCTCACAATTATAAGCTCATCCCTGACTCCTAACCTGCTAGGAATGGATTCTTTCTTCGTTTCAGTTTCCTATCTAATTTCTGTTGAATTAGAGATTAGTGTCTTAATTGCTGCCCGGACTGCCTCTGTATACTAAAACTCCTTTTTGGGTTCGTAGTCTCATTCACGCCTGCACCTGGTACATCTAAATCAGCTTCATTCTCAGATAACTGACCAGGAAACGGTGCTTAGTTCCTCAGATACAAAAGGAAGACAGGAACAAAGAGTCCAAAGAAATCCCTGAAACTGGGCACAATACAGAAGCATATCCCATCAGCTAAACGTGAGCTAGGCAGACCTTGGAGCATGAAACTTGGCGTTATCCTGACGTTGCCTCAACTGAAGCAGTCGTCTCTCACAAATCATTATAAGCTCATCCCTGAATCCCAAACTGCTAGGAACGGATTCTTTCTTCGTTTCAGTTTCCTATCTAATTTCTGTTGAATTAGAGATGAGCGTCTTAATTGCTGCCCGGACTGCCTCTGTATACTAAAACTCCTTTTCGGATTCGAAGTCTCATTCACGCCTGCACCTGGTACATCTAAATCAGCTTCATTCTCAGATAACTGACCAGGAAACGGTGCTTAGTTCCTCAGATACAAAAGGAAGACAGGAACAAAGAGTCCAAGGAAATCCCTGAAACTGGGCACAATACAGAAGCATATCCCATCAGCTAAACATGAGCTAGGCAGACCTTGGAGCATGAAACTTGGCGTTATCCTGACGTTGCCTCAACTGAAGCAGTCGTCTCTCACAAATCATTATAAGCTCATCCCTGAATCCCAAACTGCTAGGAACGGATTCTTTCTTCGTTTCAGTTTCCTATCTAATTTCTGTTGAATTAGAGATTAGTGTCTTAATTGCTGCCCAGACTGCAGAAATTAGAAGTGAAACCAAAGTTAAGGAAAAATCTGTTCTTAGCTGTTTGGGAAATAGGGTAGGGATATAAGTGCCAAGTACAGAATCTAGCTTCAGACGAAGCAACATTGGAGTCATGTTAAGTTCTTCATGCCACGTTCTTGGACTCTGGTCTCTGTTGGATTCCTGTTTTAAATGCCTTTGCTGTTACTTGCCTTTGAAATCAAGTATCTATTTTCATAGATTTTTTTGGACTACAGTGTTTCCTCACTTATCGCGGGTGTCACATTCCAGGACAATCCATGAAGTAGGAACGCTATATATGTATATCGAGTTCCTGGCCCAGGAACCACATCAATATCCCCATTCCCTTCTTGAACATCAACATGACCATCATCCCCGTTCTCATCATGAATATCAACATGGACATCAGACACAATCACAGGCTGAAATACAACATGGATGTCTGTTGCACTCCAGAGCAGGATCCCCTCTGGCTTTAAACACCACACGGTTGGGTTAAAATAGCAAGCAGTTTATTGAAGGTAATGAAAACCAAAGCAATAAAAAGTAATCCACAGTAAAAGGTATATCCAAATGATTAGGAAGAAAAAGGAGCAATTAGTCCAAAGAGAAATACAGTGTTCCCTCGCTACTCTATTCTAGAACCCATAATCCACATCCAATGGGAAGCCCAAGCACTCTGGGACCCACCATCCACAATCAATAGGAAGGCCAGGCACTCTGGGAACCCTAATCCATACCCAATGGGAAGTCCAAGCACTCTTGGATCCATCTTAGGTGATACTTACTTACTTACTTACTTACTTACTTACTTAGGCGATCCTTCGTTGGACGAGTAAGATGGTCTTCCTTGATGACTATTTTTGTGGGTTCGTAGGTGGCTGTGGAGCCCTGTTCTTGACCCGCATCTTCTCCTACAGTGAAGGCATTGGTTATCCAGGTGGAAGGCGGTCCTGGTCGGGGTTGGCTTGACGCGCCTTCCTCCTGGCACGTTTCTCTCTTTCACCCTCCACTCGTGCCTCCTCAAATTCTGCAGCACTGCTGGTCACAGCTGACCTCCAGCTGGAGCGGTCAAGGGCCAGGGCTTCCCAGTTCTCAGTGTCTATGCCAGAGTTTTTAAGGTTGGCTTTGAGCCCATCTTTAAATCTCTTTTCCTGTCCACCAACATTCCGTTCTTAAGTTCGGAGTAGAGCAACTGCTTTGGGAGACGGTGGTCAGGCATCCGGACAACGTGGCCAGTCCAGCGGAGTTGATGGCACAGGACCATCGCTTCGATGCTGGTGGTCTTTGCTTCTTCTAGCACGCTGACATTTGTCCGCTTGTCTTCCCAAGAGATTTGCAGGATTTTCCAGAGGCAGCGCTGATGGAATCGTTCCAGGAGTTGCATGTGACGTCTGTAAACAGTCCACGTTTCACAGGCATAGAGCAAGGTTGGGAGGACAATAGCTTTATAGACAAGCCCCTTTGTCTCCCTACTAGGGATGTCCCGGTCCTCAAACACTCTCTGCTTCATTCGGGAAAATGCTGCACTCGCAGAGCTCAGGCGATGTTGTATTTCGGTATCGATGTTGACTTTGGTGGAGAGGTGGCTGCCAAGGGAGCGGAAATGGTCCACATTTTCTAATGTTACACCATGAAGTTGTATCACTGGCATTTGGGAGGGGGTGGCTGGTGACTGATGGAACAGCACTTTCATTTTCTCGATGTTCAGTGACAGGCCGAGCTTCGTGTATGCTTCTGCGAAGGTGTTTAGAGTGGCTCGTAGATCCTCTTGGATCCATCATCCTCGTCCAATGGAAGCCCAACCACTCAAAGACCTATCATTGACATCCAATGGGAAATCCAAGCACTTGGGCACCCATCACCCACATTCAATAGGAAGTCCAAGCGCTCTATGATCAATCATCCACATTCAATGGGAAGGTCAAGCGCTCTAGGACACATCACCTGGGTGCAATGGGAAGGCCAGCCACTCTAAGAACTTAATGTGAATCCAATGTTGCTTCGTCTGAAGCTAGATTCCGTACTTGGCACTTATATCCCTGCCCTATTTCCCAAACAGCTATGAACGGATTTTTCCTTAACTTTGGTTTCACTTCTAACTTCTGTTGTAATCTGGTTGAGCGCCGTGATTGCTGGCTTGTTTGTCTTTGCTGGCTGAAAACACTTCTTCTGTTCAAGGCTTCATTAAAAGTCTGGACCTGGAGATAACTGATGAGTTGACTGTGGCGCAGAGCCTTTCCATTCCAACTCTGCAATTCCGTGATCAGTAATGCATGCATGCATCCATATTTCATATGCCTCCAGCAGGGGTTGCTCTTGGACCGCTTGGGAGAGATTCCAGTTCCAAGGCCTTGCAAACAAGAAGGAAGCCCAGCTTTTGCTTGGAGAGTGGATGGAGGCAGGGCGGTTTTGCAAGAGTCATAAATCAGTGGGCTGATTGAAGATACAATGTGAACTTACCTGCTCTAGTAAAGGCAGGTAAGAGGGTTGCTTATCCCTATTGTGGAAGAATACAGGACCTCCTCAGCCTATCTTTGCACCAATCTTCACCATAGCGTAAACAGAAGAGGGAGTGAGAGGAGGGGGTCCACACCTGCCCCCAGGTGAGGTCAAAGGTCAGCCTGGTCAGCTCACCTTTGATCTGACCCCCTTCCATGTCAGCCCCAAATGCAGGCGATTGGTGCAAAAAGTGGGGATTCTGCCCCTTCCCCATTGAGCTGCATTGCCTCCAGCAGAAAGTAACTGCACTGATTGCAGGTGAACTATACATCCCAGGACCTACAATTCCCCCCAAATCAAGGTGAATTTTCCCCAAAGACCTCCAGTATTTGTTGCTGGTCATAGGGACTCTGTGTGCCAAGCTTGGTCGAATTCCATCCTTGGTGGAGTTCAGGGTACTCACTGATTGCAAGTGAACTATAAATCCCAGTACCTACAACTTCCCCAAATCAGGGTGAATTTTCCACAAAGACCTCCAGTATTTTTTGCTGGTCACGAGGGTTCACTCTGTGCCAAGTTTGGTCCAATCCCATCTTTGGTGGAGTTCAGGGTGCTCATTGATTGCAAGTGAACTATACATCCCAAGACCTACAATTCCCCCCCAAATCAAGGTGAATTTCCCCCAAAGACCTCCAGTATTTGTTGCTGGTCATAGGGACTCTGTGTGCCAAGTTTGGTCCAATTCCATCCTTGGTGGAGTTCAGAGTACTCACTGATTGAAAGTGAACTATACATCCCAGGACCTACAATCCCCCCAAATAAAAGTGAATTTCCCCCAAAGACCGCCGATATTTGTTGTTGATCATGGGGACCCTGTGTGCCAAGTTTGGTCTTGATCAGTCATTGGATGAGGGTCGTAGTGGTCTGCGACCCTCATCCAAGTCCCATCATCCATGGTCCATCCTCCTCTAAACTGCACCAGAATATAAAGGGGGTCATGGAGGCTCTGTGTGCCAAGTGTGGTCTTTATTGGTCTCCTTATTGGTCTTTGTTGGGGGCCACAGTTATCAGTGGGAACCAAAGAGTTTGG